GCTCACTTGACTTATCTTTTCTATGAATATTGAAAATGGTTAAACAAATATAAAGCTCTCACTTTGCTTTACAACATATTTTTTGAATCCCCTTGAATTCCATGGTTTCATCTTTTTGTAAATTTTGCAATTTGATTGGTTGACTAATCCATAGTGATATTTTGACTGGTCAATACAATGAGCCCCCCTAGTGCTACCAACCTAAAAAATTTCGCTAATCATATGCTGGCCAATCAAAATTTTTTTTTAACACCGATATCGTTAAGATTTTTTTTTTTTTAAAAAAAAGAAAATTATACAATATTTAAAACTAATTTTTTTTTAATAAAAAAAAAATTCTTTATTAAAATTAACAATAGCTATTTTTTACAAAAAAAAAAATATTAAGAAACTATTCTTTGCGGCCTAATTAAAATGCATCTTTTGCAATTTTACTAATAGAAACTTTACTTCTAACCCAAACCCTAACCCAACCCCAAATTACAATGTTGAATTCTCAGCAAAAATTACAAGAGAATCAACTTTTCTAGGTGTGCTACTAACCCTAATCCAACCCAAACTACACTATCGAATTCCCAGTAAAATGAATCACCAAAAGAACGGTGAAGAGACCACTAAAAGAATGACAAAAGAATACCAGAACACCGAAAAAATAATGAAAAAGTGGTGAAAGAAGCACTGAAAAAGTGATAAAAAGGTGGAAAAATAACAAAAGAAAATGTTGACTTAAAAAAAAAAAACCACAAAAAAAGTATTAAAAATCAAAAAAACCACTAAAAGAACGATGAAGAACGACAAAAAACTCCAAAAGAATGACAAAAGAGTGCCAAAAAATCACCGAAAAGCGATGAAAGAAGTGCTGAAAAAGCGATCGAAAAAAGAAGCTCCAAAAAAATGGCAGCAAAAAAATTATCGAAAAAAAACAAGAATGATAAAGAACGACAGAAAACTCCAAAAAAATGATGAAAGAACACCAAAAAATCACCGAAAAGTGACAAAGAAGTGCTGAAAAAGTGACTGAAAAAAGAGGCTCCAAAAAATGACACAAAAAAAATTATCGAAAAAAAACAAAAAAATAAAAAAATAAAAAGCCTAATTTTAGTAGTTGATCAGCCTATCACATGATCAGCAAAATTTTTTAGATTGGTTACGCTAGGGTCTTAGATACAATGAGTGATCTGTGTAATGGAGAGTGAAAATCATATCTATATTTGGACGGTTTCTCCTGTTCAAAGCACCCACTTAATGGATCGGAGGTAAATTTTTAAACGTTACCATTTCACTGAGATATAAACCATCTTTTTTTATTCAAAAATTTACCATTGATAGAGGACGTTCAATATCAAGTATAATAAACAATGAATTCTTAGTAAATTTCTACCCGATCTAAAAAAAATTACTATTTTATTTTTGATGCTAGACTTTTAAAACAAACTGTATACCAAGGATATAACTATAGCTTCCGGGTGACTCATGAGTCCACCCGACGGGTTGCTTTTTTAACCCACTCGGTTTCTACCCGGGTGGCGTTTTTTTTGACGGGTCCAATCACTATGTAGAAGTGTAAGTTACGTGAGTCCACAGGAGTCAACCTCGTATCTGTTATGCTCATGGCCAATGCTACTGTAAATGTGTGTATACAAGATCCCCAAAATTGTAGACCCACCATGAATTAGATCCTACTGTACAAAATCGTGTATGCATTTTAAATTTTTCCTTTTACAAAATAACCTCCTAGCGTGTACTACACCTGGGTCTTGTATATGCACATTACAGTAGTATTCAAAGTGCATTTCTCCTCCTCTGATTCAAGTTTAATTTTGTTCAAGTCTTGAAAGTTGGAATCCAAAAGATTTCATTGACTAGTTAGGGTTGTGAATTTAGAATTCCGAAATTTCTCATATTTTACTTAGATCTTTCGTATGATTAACTTAAAGATGCTGGTGAAAAAAACCAGAATAGTGAAAAAATTTCGCTGTTATTGGCGAAATTAATTTTATTAGCATTTCATGATTAACATGATTAATCGTATTATGTATGAGACAGATGTTTGGTACAATCAAAATTTTTTACTAACGTTGATAGTAAACTTTGAAAATAATCAGAAATCAATAAATTCATTGTTTTTAATCTCTTTGTAATATTAAATGAATTGGATAAACAATAAGTTTTTTATTTTTTCAGAATGAAGTTTTTTTTCTTTGCAAGAATACATGTTCATACGAACATTGTTTACAATGCATTGAAGATAAGTGCCGAATAAAAATGTCATTGACTATACTATACGAAGATCTTTTATCGCTGTTTTCGAATTAGTGCTATCTATGAATCCCATGAGGATTACCATTGTGAAAACAATAGTAATATGCAGGATTCATATGATTCACAAGATTCATTGATCGCACTAATTCGAAAACGGCGATAAAATTTAGTAACTGATTAAAGGTTTCTCAATGAATATCTGAACAAACCTTTTATTTAATTCTATAAACTATAGAATTAAAATAAAAAATTTCATCGTGAATTCGATAAATTCTGTAGTCTGTAGAGTTAAATATAATTTCTCAATGAAAATCCAATTAATTCGATGAAATTTTTGTTTGAAGCCTTTTAAAGCTTTATATGCTCTTCTTTAAAAAAGTTTTTTGATAATTATATCAAATTCGATGATTTAATTTAGGATTTATATCGAATTTGATCAGTAATCATCGAGAAAGTCAAAGTTTTTTAAAGCTTTAATCGAAGTTTCTCGATATTACCAGGCCAAACTCAATCTAAAAAATTTGTAGGATTGAGTAAAAAATTTTCATTGTGTTTGACCTGTAGTTGTCAAAGAATTTTCGACTGAGCTTTAAATAAATATTTCTTGATAATTACCCGATCAATCCGAGAAAGTTTTTTTATTTTGATTCTACAAAAGCATATAGAATTTTTTTTTAAAAAAATATCGATTTTGGCCTGGTAATTATCGAAAAATTTCATTCAAATTTAGAAAACCCGATTGAAACCTTTTATCCTAAAACATTCGAAAAAATCACGTTAACAAAATGCAATTTAATTTTTATAACTGTCAACACTCTAGGAGCATCTTTCTAAAAAATAATATATGCGATGTAAAGATGGTAAGTGTAATCTTTTTCGAAACATAAAAAATGGGATTTACAATCATAAAATTTTATTATTTTGGCCTTGACTAAAGTACATTTTTAGTTTATTCGAGCTATTTCCAATGTATAGTGTAAATGACAAAATAAAAAGTATTTAGAGAACGTAAATATTTGATTAACTAATCCATTCTGAGGGTTTGTCATCAGACATATCGAAATATACATTATCAACTGAATGGTGGTCATACGCCCAACACCTACATGCAGTTAATAGTAGGGTTCAGACTTTCAGGATACATTTCCTCCCCTTCTCTTCCTGCCCAATCAAAGTCCACAAATTTTATATCAATTTCTCCATTTTTGTATTTGACTATTATGCTTTCATCACGAAGACCTCCATGTACGTAACCGGAATCATGAAACAACCTCATAGCTGGATAGTTATGTGTTTCCGCTTTTGACCTCCAAAATTGCTCGTAACCCGGCAATTTTTTGGTAATTGCCGGGATCAACTTTTGTCGTATATCTCTCGCCTGTTCCGACCAAGTTTTGTTGGGATCCGGTTTTTGTGAGGACAAATTATTATATGAGTACCGGCAATTTTAATTACCAACTTCTTATAGTGATCGCTTAACATTATCTGGCATACAGTAATTGTGTTATTGCAACAGCTTCGTGATCCGTATTTGCCATATCAACAATATACACACATTCTCGATATTCTCGATCCCAACGAAATTTATATCCAACTTTTTCGTTCCGGTCAAGAAAAGTGTTGTAATTTTTGTATGTCAGTCGCATATTTGTAGGTGTAGCACCTGGCCACACCTTAGCAAGTTTTCGTGAGATGTACGTATCTTGGGCGTCGTCAGGATTTATAGGCGCTCCTGTTGAGAAAATATTTCTGAATAAGAAGCGTGAAGTGGTTTATATTCCTCCAAATATTCCATGACGGTAATCTTCCAGCTTTGTTGAAGGTTATTAACTGCTCACAATTTTGATGCTAAACCTAGTTCTAAGCATGTACCATATGTTTCTTTAAAATATTTTTAGGTGAATTCGACTAAATCTTTCTCTTGAGTATTCTCCAAGATGAAGTTGATCTAACATAAGCTTCAAAGAAGTCAGAGTATAATTCTCATCGAGGTTCGAATTTCAAAACAATAAAATGTTAATGATATACTTACAATATTTAACTGGTGAAAATGTTTAGTGGACCTTCAGGTGTAAAGAGAAAAAAACAAACAAACAATATACAAACAACATCGGATATCGATAAATTTGGGCCTGTATTGTTTTTTCATTTTTTAAGGTTTCGATTTCTTTTTTATACTCCTCGCATTTACTATTATATTCGATACCTAAGGCATCATGCCTTTTTTGTAAATCTACAAGTTTTTCTTTATCAGACAAACCTTCGCCGAGCAGTTCATCCGGCTTTTTTAACTTACGGGACTTGATTACAAATTATTGTCCGAAGGACACTACAGGTAGAGCAATAGTACACCCGATGTCTGTTTGTTAAATTATGATTGGCCAAATCAGGTGTAACATAAAAGAAAAACAATCAAAACAATAGGTAGTCAATGTTTATTGGCTATATTAGGTGTAATATAAAAAAATCAGTACTTTTTTTATATTTAGTCCTTCGGACTTTAAATAGTTTCTATTTTTCTAGTTTATAGTAGGAATCGTTCTGAATGTAACAATCGCCATTCGTAGGTTTATATTTCAAATATTCGATGGTAAATTGAACTGGAATATCAGAAGCATTAGTAGGTTAGCGATTGCGGAATAGAGATCCATCCCATTTTGAAGAACTTGATATTTTATCCATAATGTCGAAATTTACGTCTGCTGTTCAAAGTAAAGGGAAGTATTATATACAATTTTAGTTCATAAATATAGCTTATGTTTTATATAACTGATTATAAAATTTTATATATTGCTTATATTATAAAAAAAAAATTTCTTTTTGCTAGATGAAAAAGGAGACATATTCGATTTAGGTTATAACTCTGCTCAAAGGGTCCAATTAGCAAAAAACACAATCCCTGTTCTTAAAGTTTTTGAGAATCGGTATAACATTGAATAAATGAGCTGTCGGGTATCTTGCAACAAAGGCTAAGTCAGGAAATACTGTCAGTTCGACAAGACCCAATCCGGACTGCCCATTTTAGTGAGTGGGTTCATAAAAATACTCATTGAACTGATGTAAATTTTATTTTTTAAAATGGTTTATTTTTACGTATTTTAATTTATTTTTATCCTTTTTTTTAAAATATATTTTCGAAATATTTCGAAATATATAAAATAGTTTAATATTTTCGTGTAAAAAATTATTCCAAGTACTGCATTTCGAATTAATTCGAATTTTTTGATAAATATTCTAAGAACTTTCGTAAATCAAATTCGTAACTATTATCTTACCTATACCATCTAAAATGGGTAAAAAGAAGAAACTACCTAAAACCGGTGTCAATGACTTTCGTCAAAGAAAAACCTAACCCGGATGGTAGGCACTATTAATTAGGCACCACGCAAAACAAAACTCAACAAGGCAAGTGTTTACTTTATTACTCAATGAACTTTATTTATTAAGGGTTTAATTTATTACAAGCGAAACTTCATCTAAAAACTAACTTTTTTAACTATTACATTCGCTTTTCTCATATATACATACTTCGGGTCACATTACTTACATCATAATTTGTTCATATACGATCATACGATCGTTTAACTCTTATATTACTAATAAATTACCTCATCTTTCATGCATACTACTTCGATTGCATAATTGATCGTTTACCTGATCTCATAATCCCCGATTGCTTATTCCCTTATATTCATACCTGTTTATCGCACACTGTATTTCACCATGACACCGGAAGTAGCAAAATGGCTAAGGATATGAAGAGATCATTCACATAATTAAAATAAAATATATTTAAGCAACATCGTTCGTTGAGGAGCGTATTATCTTCAAAAATCAAAGACGCCATATTTTCTGTCTTTGGAGAGGTCCAACTTAATTCAATTAACACCAATGCGTCTCCTGCAGAGGTTACGGCGTGGAAAGCTTCAGAAAAGACAAAATCATGTTCCTTAATTGCTTTTTGAAGACGAGTAATTTTTCGAAAATGTTTGTTCGTTTCTCTTTCGTAATTAGGTATTGCTATAGGAAGCTTTTCACTCCAATATATGAAGAAAATGCCGAAGATTCATATCTTGTGCGCATTCTTGCCAAAGTATAGTGTCTCGAATCGTTATATAATTTGCCATTTTCATCACTCGCAGATACGATGGGATGCACTTAAGTAAGGTATAATGTTGGAGGAAATAAAAAATATTTTCGAAGATTTCTTTCGGAAGGGTATTCATAATGATTAAATTTGCGAAAAAATTTAAAGTGTCTTTTCCGAGACTCTCAATTTTGAATGAATTATAATCATCAGAGTATGATACGTATACAAAGGTTGTTTTATTACGAAAAGTAGAAAATTTGCAGGGGTTTTAAATTCAAAATTTTGGTTACGAAAAATAGAAAATTTGTAAATTATTGATATTGTCACGAAATAACGCGCAGGGGTTTTAAATAAACAACATCACAAAATGCAGACGCGATCTACATAACTAACCAAAATCGGATAAGAAGGAACGATCGTATGTATTTTATCCAAGTTATGTATTAACTGTTAATAATTTTTTTTTTTTTTTTAACCTTCGATATATTTATTTTTTTTTATTTGGAATTTTCAGTAAAAAAAAAAAAAAAAGGAAAAAAAAGGTTTAAAAATATGGCATCAACTATTTTGATGCTGTTACACTAGCTAAAGGATAGAAAAATCATCTAAAACTAAGATATACAACTAAAACATACAAGACAAAAAAATTTTCGATGCTATCTACGAACTTAAAAAATTTATAAATACAGTGAATCGCAAGGAATAATTTGTAGTAAATAATCGGGAAATTTTTTTTTACAAAATGATGATGAATAATAAAATTGTACTAATATTGCGATTTTTTGTGTTGATGTCAAGAGTTGATAATGAAATTTATATGTATATAAATGTATGTATTGCAAGTGATATTTTTATACATGTACAAATGACACGAGTCATTTGTGAGGACAATCTATATATAACAAGATGAATTTGCCCAAACGAAAAACCATTGTCATGAAAAAAAAATAATAACTGGTTGATGTTGTATTTCGTTTTAATTTATTGCCAATGGAATTGGTGCGAGTGATTTTCTACGAAGCATTGATATAGGCGGAGGTGGTGGAATATATTGTTCGTTTTCGCTTTCGTTATCATCTTCGTTATCACTCTCGCTATCACTTTCTATATCTATTTTTGTAGATAAATATAAGTAATTTTGTTGTATTTAAAAGCTTTATATAATAATGAACATAACTTACCAGAAAATTCTGGCGGATAATTGGTGTTATATTCTAAACAAATAGGTAAAGAAAGTTTATTTTTTATTAATATAAATTACATTTATAACGTTCATGAATTCAAATCCTATTTTAATATATACAAACCTTCGTACGTTATTTCATCATCATCATCACTCTGTAAAGAGTTATCATTGACTGAAAAGGAAAAATTGAAATAATCAGTATTATCTTCAGTAGTGAAAATTTTTTTTTCAAATACATTCAAAATATACATACAATCAAGATATGATGCCGTTATTGGCGGATCCACGACTAAGAATGAATTTTGTGGTGTTGGTAAATTTGGGAATAATAAGAAACGACTATTATAAATTGCAAAAGGATGTATGTCCGGAGCGACCGGGTATTTTGTATTTGATATGCGTGATGCTAAGGTTTGTTCAAACAAATCAACATCATCAAAATCATTTGTGCTATTTATTGCAAATTCATCTAATCCAAGAAGACTACGTTGATAATCATATGGTGATAATAATATATCTACAATTTCTTCAGCATCAGGTCTTAACGATGGATCAGCATTCCAGCATTTTACCATCAATTTTTCATAAAATAGTGGTGTACCAGGTACTACGGCTTCCCGAAAGCCATGACAAATTTCTAATGCTAATGAATGATCGTGCGGTCTATCCGAAAAAGGAGGCCGACCAGAGGATAATTCCCACATTATGAAAGCGAAACTATATATATCAGCCTTTTCAGTAAATGAACCACCAGCTAATACTTCCGGTGCAATAAATGGTAAAGATCCATATACTCCTCGTGGTTCAGAGGAGTTACTTGGACCACATAAACCAAAATCAGCAATGTTACAACTATAAAATTTTAAAACGTTGCCACAATGCAAATTTTTATGGAATGTACCATTTTTATGCACATTTAGAAGACCCATTGCTATGTTACATAACATTTCAACGGTATCCTTCCAACGAAGAGTGGACATATTCTTTTGCATATAATGTCTAAGATTACCATCTTCAGCATAATTCATAACCATCATATATTCTAGTGTCTCTGGGTTGCGTGTCACACCGTGACAATGAACAATATGACCACAACCATCGAGTTTGAGACTACCATGACGCTTAAACTATCATAAAAACAGGAATACGACGGGTTAATTAATAAATCATAAACGATAGATAACGATAAATAAATAAATCTTATTCAGAACGAACCTCATCTAAGAATTCCTCACTAAGTATTTGAGAATTTTTAAGAGATTTTAGAGCAACTACGAGAGGCTTTTCTACAAATGCTTGTTTGGCACCGTCCCAAACTTGGTCAGTTTTATTTATCCAAGTCGCAGAAAATACGGAACTATGACCTCCCTTAGCAACAAATTTTATGTCACTAAAGTTTTCAAAAGGTATCCATTGCATATGATAACGCGGATCACTTTATAATAATATAAGCATTAACATTGTGAATATAAATAATAAAAAATGAAAATACAATGACTCTTGATATAGTGGACTCTTTGGTATAGTGGAGATTAAGTCAAACCTCATATAATTTATTAAGGTTAAGACAAACCATAATAAATTCTATTAAGGTTAAGACACACAATAATAAATTCTATTAAATATAGTAAATTTACTAAATAAACTCGCGATATAGCTGATTTGGAACCTATTTATTATATCGAGAGTAATTGTTTACAAAAATTATGAATAAAAAAAGGGACTACTTACGGGGTTTCTAATTGAGTTTGTTGAATAAATCTATCTAATCCATCATCACCACTAGTCCAATTTGAAAATTCGTTTATAAGACGAAGTCTTTCTTCCCATTGCCAATCATCATCAGTGTATTCAACATTTTCATCATAAAAATCATCGTCTTGGTTGTCTAAATATGATGATTGATGTAGGTTTAAAAAATCGTCGACCATCGCGTACGTACGTATAAGTTATATATATATATATATATATATATTATATATATATGGGATATTTTGTTGCAGGTAATTATTACTTTATAAAGTAAAAGACAGATAATGAGGAAGACAGTTATGTAATCGAGTTAAACTTGAACCAAACGAGTCGTAGTTATCAAAACGACGAAATGTTTAAAATTTGAGAGAGAAAAAAAAAAATGCAAGGGAGAACTTCTAAAAAAAAATGAAAGAAAAAATTGAAAAAAAACTATAGCTTAAAAGTATACAATTTTTAAAACCGAGGTGCTTATATATAAAAGTAATGCGAGTTGGATAATAAATGATTTTTCGGGGGCTGACAATGAATTTTTGGTGGCACAAAAATAGTAAGTGTAACGTATTTGATTATCTGCATTCGGACGAAGGTCATGTGACATAATTAGTCACAAAAGTCCCGAAATGAAAGACTTTTAAAGACAATCTAATCCATAATATTGATTGTTACTATTATTGAGCATAGCAAAAAGCATAATAAGAAAAGATAAAACCATTATTCATGAATAATGGATAAATAAAAAGTTCGCAAATCAGAAAAAAATTGACTTTATTTGGTAAATGTGTTCGTGTAACAATGATCGTTCTTTAGCATTTTTGTACTTAATTTTCTATCAAATAAAATAGGACCTTACAGAGATTCATTTGGTTGAACACTATATGATGTTATTTGTTTGCTGATTTGATATTTAACACCTTCAAAAAATGCCGTGCGACGATTATTATTATAATCATCAAGTTGAATATTCTTTTTTCCGGTTTTTAAAGTTACAATTCTGTGCAATTAAACCGCCTAAATTAAAGGAGAATTGTTACAAAAAACTTTATATATTATAATATATATATACTGCCAATCAGCCTATTAAAAAAAAATCTATTATGATTCTTTCACGACTCATGCTATTTGCAGGAACATACGTACGGACTTATCGATTTTTATTTATAGAGATTGGGATTTGCTAAACAAATACGATAATAGCATTTTTCATAAAACCAATTTTGATTTCATGTTTCGGAAAAACAATATGATCTTGTTAAAATCGAAATATAATTTTACTATAAATATATATATATATATATATATATATATGATAACTCAAATTAATATATATTTACAGTCTAAACCACTTGGACAATGATTGAACGTATAGCGATAGGACAATTGTTTAGTTTATATACCGCGCGTTATCGTTATGGCTTGCAAATCTTTTATATTTGCAAACCGGGCCGACCCGCCTTAATCTATAAATGTAGGCAAATATTTTGTCCATGTGTGTGAAGCGCAGCCACTAGTGTTCCGTATAGACCCGCATACTAATTTTGTATATGCTATAGAATATAGAATGGTAATTAATTAATGCTGTTTAGCCATTCATTCTTTGATGAAATTTAACTCTAAAAAAAATTCGAGAATTCTCCTTGAGAAGACAACTAAACAAGCGAATTTCTTCCTATGAAGATTCGATCTGGACTTCTAATTCAGCAATCTTACCTAGAATAGCAAAATTTTTAGTGATACTGGGCAATTTTACTAATGTGCGCCTACTCCCTGTACCAGTTGTAGATCTGACATTGTGTGCATCAGTTGCATAATGTTAATTTCACTATTTAAAACATTGTATACTAAAGAAATCAAATGTAAAAAAAAGAAAGTTTATACAGTATAAATTCATGTATTTAAAGAAAATAGAGTTTTTATTTTAATATATAATATATTACTTTAAGCTATAATTTTTTATATAAAAATGTAGGTAATTGCTATATATTAAGAATATTAAGTTAAAATTTATTAAATTTACTAAATAATAAGTTTTTGTAAAATAAATAAAATATTTAAAGAAACTATATAATGTATACAGTATCTACAGTATATCAAAATTTTTGATAATTTTACTGCAAAAAGTGAAATTTTTTGTATAAATATAAAAAAATATATTTATTAGTATATATTTATTAAAATTAAATAAAAATTTTAAAATATATACAGTATAGTTTGTTTTTTTTAAACAAGTTTGGTTGTCATATAAAAGTTATTTTGTTCAGTAAATCTTGATATATTGCATATATACAATATAGCAATTATTTGTGTTTTTATAAACATTTTAAAATAATTTTTGTTTTCTAAAAAAAAATCAAAGCATAAAAATCTTTAATGATTATATAATATACATTTGTAAACACATACGTACCCATATAAAAATTAAAATATAGGACAAATAATAAAACAATATTATACTGTATATACTATTTATAAAATAGTATATTTAAAAGAAAATATGCTGTACGTTGAAATAGAATCTTTGTGAATACAATGAAATTCTAAATTGATTCGATTTGTTAGAGGATTCGAATGAGTGGATTCAAAATTGCCTCAAAATTAGTCATTATTTAATCTATAAAATAAATAAAAATAAAAATAGAAATAAAGAAAATAAACAATAAATAAAAGAATAAATAAAATAAATAAAGAAATTATATTCTTTGTTCGATAGTAAATCTGCTAATCGGCATTGTAAAACTTTCATTACATGAGAAGATCATAACTTCGTATCAAAGTTTTACAAGATCCATTAAATAAACAATTAGAACCACAGAGGTTGTTATTGGAAGCAGAAAACATTTAATTCACAAATTTTGGAATTCCGTTATTGAATTTGGGTGTTCTAAAAATTCTACGTATTACGCAATTTCCAACTTTTCGTAATACTGTAATAGAGAGGATTAACTGTACTGTATGTATAAAAAACTTTATAGTTTATGATTAACTGAAAAATTTAAATAAATTCGGAATTAACTTTACGTTAGTTTGAAATTCTTTGCCATTTTAGTGAATTTAAAATTCGTTTCAACAAGTGTACGTATGTATACGTATCGATATAGAATCCACTTAAATAAATTCCAAATTTAGCAAGATTTTATTTCGACTTATATGTATATCATATATGCGCTATATCATAATTAAGGCTCTTTAAGGATTAAGAATAGTTCGGCTTAAATACATCATATTTACCGTATAGCGCTGTCTATAGTATTCTCAAAAAACCTCAAAGAAGCTTGAATAGTATCTGAGAAAATACTGTAGGCCGTAATATATTTAATGATATATACTGGAAAATAGAAACTATTAAAGGCCTATACCGATAATATTGTCAATTCTAATCAATCAATTAACAATCAATTAACAATCAATTAAAAATCGAGAAATGTGACAACCAATCAAGCTTCATAATTTGAGCACACACATACGTTAGGGACAGAGTAAATCACGTGATCTTACGGACAGCGTATATAAATATGCATAAGTGAAACAATCTTACTTTTTCTGTAAATTTTATTTCTTTCATATAAGCTTATCAAATACTACATACATTCCATATATTTTATATTCCTTATCTTTAACTGTGTATAGTCTTAGACGCATAAAATTGGTATAATCAAATATATAACTAAGATACGTATTTATGAAATTATTCTGAATTCAAGTATTTTGTAATGAAACTTAAATATAGCTAATGTATAATTATTTTTTCTTGATCAGTTTTGCTAGTCGAACCGCTTATTGAAAGAAATTGAGTAATACGATCTTGGATCAATAACTTCCAGCTAAAGTGACAAATTAGGACCATCGATTAACAATTGGTGGAACAGGTGTACCAGGTCTCAATACTAGTGCCACGTAATGATTTTCATTAACAAAAGCCATTGCAAGAGCTTCGTTTTGGTTCAAGGGATGGTGATATGGAAGAAATGTAAGGCTTATTTGTAATGAGAAAAAGTATAACGGTCTTTGGTAGGTATTTGCTATAACATCGCCTATTTGTGGCATTCTCATCCAGTGTTCGAATGTTCAAGGACCACTCTCCCAAGAAATCTCCTTTACAATCATATCATAATTATACATGCCGACGAAATTATTTCGGGTTCAAAAACCCGAAATTAAAATTTGAAGACGAAATTGTTTTTGACCTATTTTACTTAAAAGACAAAATTTTTTAACACTTTTTTTGAATAGACAAAATTATAAGGAGTATAAATATATAAATTTTATTTGCTCTTTCTTATAAAAAATTTTAATTTGCTCTAATGGAGACGAAATAGGCCTTTTTTGAAAATCAATTTCAGTGGCATTACTAATCATAATCACATTAGCTAGAAATAACATTCGGTAAAATTACTCCTTTTCATTTAATTCATTCAATAATTCCTTTCTTATCTCTGGTCACTTATCTTCATTTCTTCCTAAACACATGGCTACTGCTCTATACCCGCAATTGCCATCTCCGTCTACATTAATCACTTCTTTTATATATTCATACATATAAGCAGGTATTTGATCATAAAATAAAGGTTGTTGTGTATGTTGTGGACTTTTCATAAGTTTTGTTTCTGTTTTTTTTGTATTTTTTTCTTTTACATTTTTTTTTTTTTTGTAGTTTTTTCTTTTTTTATAGCAGCTTTATCTTGAATTTCACTGAGAAGAGGGTCTCGCTTAGTAGATGTTGGATGTTTCTTTTTAGGTGCATTAGGCAACGGTGCCTTTGGAATAACAATTTCTTCACTAGCTAGTACCTCGATCTTATGCAAAAACGTGGCCTTTGACCCACTATTATTTAGATTTTCATATTTTCTTCAAGCTTATATAAAATCTTAGTAATAGTAAAGTCAGTTGATAGTGATGGTGGTAACAAGGGTATTGTATCATGTTTCAAATGCTAGCGAGAATGCACAAGAGCAAGTGGAATAGGTCCTGTCTGTGGAATTATGTGACGGCATGGTAATTTATAATTTAATCTTAAGCTACAATCACAAGGGCTATTATCTGTATTTTTATTCTCTCCTATTTTACATACTTTATTTTTGATTTTATCAATTGCCCATTTAGAAATTTTTTCAAGCAACAACTCAAATCTCATATTATTACGTATAAATGGATCAGCAGAAATGATGTTCAAACCAAAGGTTCCATTTGTTCGTAGCTGGCACTGACGGAATGCACAGTCAATATGTAAAAAGACTTGTTTCAAACCACTTGCTGCCTTGATTGCTTTTTTTAAAGCACTATGACTTCCTTCTGCTCACTGTGTCGACTGGATCCCCATATGCAGATAATTTTTAATAAATACATACATCCAACATTCGGCATTATTTTTCCATTTCTCAAAATAAGTTTGAATATATTTTGGGTCTTTACTTTTCATTGCTGCTTTATTAACCTCATTAAATGCCTTTTTAACCTCATTCATTTTCTCAGCATAAGCAACTTTTTGGATCGATAAAGAAGTTCATTGTAATCTTCATCAGAGTTAAAGAATTTTCTACACGCAGTTTGTAAGTTTTGTGCAAGCATATGCCATATGCATATTATTTTTTTTGCTTCCGAGAAAACCTTGTCTGCTGCCTTTCGAAGAGCTAAAGCTCTATCTGAAATAAATACCTCTGGAGAACAAGAAAAAAGATCATAGATCGTCTCTTTTAAAGTAAGTAAAAACTATTCGTATGTGGGTTCTTGCTCATTTGATACCCATGCTATTGCAATAGTATATGTATTAAGAGCTTTGGAGTCACCGACATTACTGACACCTACAGCATTTATAAGAGAAAGCTTATATATGTTGGTCTTATATGTTGCATTAACTATAGGCACCTCTGGGTATATTGCTACCTGATGTGCTGCTTCATTATATGTAAAAAATAAGTTTAACATGTAGCCATCTTTTGTTAATACATGACGAACTATATACTGACGTTCATCCAACATTTGTAGAAAGCGCACTGTAGTATCATGATTTGTACCCTCATTTAAAGCATTTTTTATTTAATCATGTTCATTCATTATATCTTTTGTATATATAATGCCATTCTTCCAGTGTATTGCATCAGCAATTGACTGAGTTGATGCACCACTCTTAAGCATAATATGAATCAACTCTTTTTGTTCTGTACTGAGGCTCCGATGTTGAGGAAGGCAATGAACTTGGGATAGAAGAAGTAGTTCATGATTATGCTCAGTTTTGGAAGATTTTATTATCCAAACTTTAGTATCCTCATTTAAGATAGCTCGTAACATGACAGAGCAATTTTGATACTTTGTGGACTTCTTTCTTTTTCGAGTTTTTTCAGTGATGTTATGGTTATTTCTATATTTACCCCCATTGTGCATTGCAATATAATATAAGGAGTGTGACCACCCTTTTCACCACCGAATACTTTTGATAATGATACACTAAAAGCAAAACCTGCTGCCTTGGCACCTTCCTGCGCTGCTTCTTTAAAGCTTTCTACTGTTGGGAATTCATCGCCAACTTCTGGAATTTGTGGCTGTGGTTGCAACATTTATAAGATAAGTTCTTTTAAAAAAATTTGATCAGTTTATATGAAGAATTAAATAGTTAATACAACAGTATTTTTTTATTAAATGCTATTGAGAAATCTTCTTTTTATTACAAATTAACGACTTTTTATAAGTCATAGCCAGATGGTTTATAAAGTAATGCCGAATATAAAACTTGAAATGTTTAAAAGAAAACCAGTGAGGCAATAATACGTTTTCATTTTTCATTTTTTATAATATGATTATGAAACCAAACTAATGGCTTTTTTTTTTTTGCTCCAACTTTTCTTACAAGCACAATAATAGGACACAACCAACTGGATTTTTTTTTTATTTCTTTGCGACTGCATATAATTAATCTTTTTTTAGTGATATTATGTATTGGTAATGCGCACTCTTATGCAGGTTTCATAATGATCTTCAATTTAGGATGTTGATCATGATTTTTGAATTACAGTCTAATGAATAATTACAATTATTTAAGGTAATTTTTCCTTTTTTTTTTAAGCCGGTTTCTCTAGCATAATTACTGAAATTATTTATGCATTTAATGTTTAAAACTTAATGAAATATATATTTAAAATAGAATCATCCTGATTTATATTCAGAGCTAAATAATTTCAGGCAGATTTTTTTATAACTTGTTTGATGTTTCTCGAAGACTATTTACTATACAAAATAAAGTAATACTAAAAAAATAAAAAAGATCTTTTATTAAGAATTGTTGATGTAACGTATTGAAAAATAATTAATTTTTGAATTTTATGCATGAATATAGTCTAAAATTTTGCAAAATTTGACCCAGCCGGGTATAAGAACCAATTTATTAAGTTTGTATAGCCTTATGATATTTATATATTCAATATAGCAATAATTATGTTATGTCTAAAGTTTCGTGATTTTCAAATGTCACATAATCATATCTGTCCCTAAGATCTGTCCATAGATCCTTCATACGTTAGAGCCCGCCAGGGGTCTAGACACTTTTGCAGTAACGTGACGTGGCGCATAGAAAATGACCCATCAGAATTCGTAAATTTCAATCATCCCGGATCAGTCTGACACAGGGCCCCTAGAAAATTTCGAAAAGATTAGAAAACAATAAATCGCAATTTTTACTGAATATCGCATTATAAAACAATTTTATCCTTTTTTCATGCATGTGAGGTTACACGGTAAAAATCCGCAAATTTAATTGGTTAACTATTTTTGTCTACCAATTACGTTTGCGTATTTGCGTGTAACTTCACGTGCAGAAAGAAGTACATTTATATTTTCTGTACGTAAAAATTTAATCGTATAATAGATAACTTATGATTTTGAAAGTTTATAAAATAATAGTTAAGATACGTATTCAAAAAGTTATGCATAATTATTAAGTTTAAACCTTAATAATAAAGATATTTAAAAAATCATATGAGTATATATGAAAATAATACATTCGTATGAGTATATAATCTTATCTTATTTTGTATCTTGCGTATTAATTTATTAGAAGTCTTTTGAGAGCGTAGTTAGACATGATTTAAATATATTTATCTGATATAGTATAAATTAAATAGCAACTACGTATGAGAATTACTTTTTAGAATTTCACCTATAATAGTATAATAAATTATTAATCAATATTATACATTTTGATCAGCAAAAATGATACTAAATTTGATATCATAATAAAAAACAATATTTGGTCGTTACCAAAACAATTTTTCCAAAATGATACCGAAATTTTCTAGGGGCCCTGGTCTGACGTCAAAACAAAACATATGTGCAAGAAGAAAAAAAGAGAAAAAAGCGAAAATACTCAAAAACTGGTGTTTAAATCGGCCTTTAAGCACTAACAGAAATGCGATTTTACATATAATATATAAAGCTAAAAACTCTAACACGAACCCTAACACGAACCCGAACCCAAACCCTAAACTAAAGCAAAAAAATACGCCATACCACATGATGGTCACGTTACTGCAAAAGTGTCTAGACCAGTGTTGTTGACTGGAAGCTGGAACCCCACTAAATGTCCAGATTTTTCCAGTATTCCAGTGGTTCCAGTGATAATTTCTCACTGGAACGATTATCTCACTGGAACGGATGTATATTAGCCAATAAGAATTCGAATAAGAATTAAGATATCGATATGCATGTATTAATATCGGCCAATTAGAAAATAATAATGGAAAATTATAAAATCAAGAAAACCAGGCAAATATAGTAACAGAATCGTTTGTCAGCAAGTATTTTTTTTTTTTTTTTTTTTATGATGTGGTCGAAGTTTAGCACATCATTTATTTAGTATTTATAAAATCTATCTAGAAACTAATGAAGTTCTGGGTTAAAATTGAAAAAAAAAAAAAACTAATCTATTTTCATATAACTTGGTTTTTTAAATAATGAACCAAATAGATTTTTTAACTCTCATTTGGCTTTAGGATCTACTGCAGGATGTATGTAGTTACTTAATAAATCGTTATTCAAGTTACAACTATCATCCTCATGTTCCGCCTCTTCTTCTTCTAATCTTGCAGTTTCCTCATCCTCCAACATTTGTTCCCAATCATCCAACCAATTTTCCCAACTATTAGAGGTAATATCTGAATTACTCTGTTCATCTTCGCCTAGTTCAGCTAGATCATTTAATTCACTTGGTTCAATTCGTTCTTGCGAATGAGTTGATTTATTTGCCTGATTAGATGAGGTATTGTAGGATTTATTTTGGTTCTTTCGTTGAGAAAAGTTAATTGAGGCACGAATTTGGCTCATAGCCAGTACTTTATCATTCTTTTATTTAAAATTATTATTATTATTATTATTATTATTTATTTATTTTTTTTAAAAAAAAAAAATCTTTAATAAATAACACCTGCCTTGAGACAACATCGTCGGTTTGTTTGAAGAAACCCCATTAAGCTCCATAATCGTTTAACCGATGCTGCATTAACACAAATCTCAAATAACCTCATAGCCAAGGGACCTAATTCTTTAGTTGATGGGGAGGCGAATTCCCAAAATTTTAACACATCCCCTTTAAACTGTTCGTATGTTGCGTGGTCAAACGGATACCTATATTTTCTATATTCTTCAAATTCGAGTAGAATGCAAGTTGGTCGATGTTCAAACCATGCTTTATAATAATATGAAATAAACTGAGCAAGATAAGTGAAATTTAAATTTTCAGTATTAGTATTGAACCATGTATCACGAATATTTGGATTTAAAAGGAAGGCCAACAGTAACAATGGCTGTTCCCATTGTTTCCACCTCTGCTCTAACCGTAAGATCATATGTTGTGACAAATCATTATCATTATTTTCTTCCCACATTTTCAAGATTTCACCGAAAGCCTGTAATACTTCATAAAGACAAGTGGTATCTAACTGTAGCTTATTGAGGGCTTCACAATAAGGAATAAGCAGTGAATGTAATAGTTTTATTGATTTTCAGAAACTATCACTAAGCAGAATTGACGAGATATTCATCAGCAAATTTTATGTATAGATATTAATTGATATATAACAGTTAATCGTTTTATATCGATTAAAAAATAACAATATATATCGATTAACTAGTTAAAAATCGATATA